TCTACTGTATATAATTACCTGCTACTATATTGTTTAAATATAATAAAAGCAAAAAATCACTATCATCCAACTAATGTTCGGGTAAGCAATATATATTTTGATGTCCATTAGCTTTTTTTAGATTGTATATAGTACTCTACAAAACTGAATCAAATTTTGAATTTGAATCAAATATTTGAAATTATTTGACAAAATTTTAATTAATTTAATCAAATATTTAATTCAAATTCAAAATTTAGTTTAATTTTGTGAAGTACTAATTGTATATATCCATATCTATAAATGTTCATCCTTTATTTTTATATAGTTTAAATATTATATAGTCATCTCTTATTAATATTAGCTCTATTAATATTAATCTAAGCTATAAAATAAATTTCTATATATTAAATTATACTTATTAATACTTTCTTATATATATTAACTTTAATATGTTCTCTCACTAATATTACTATTAATATAAATATAAAAGTGATTCAAATAAGTTAATATAAATGAGAGATGATTGTAAAAAAATATTTTTATTTAATATATTAAGGTATAAAAAAAAATAATGTTTTAAATTATAAACTTTTTGGTAACATGTTTATACTTTTTTATTTCTACTTATTCAAATGCTAGTTCAGGTTGCAACTGTTTTAAGAAATAAAAAAACAGAACATTGGGATGTTTATTATTGTTTTGCCTTTATAAAGGTGGCAAGACAATTTGTATCTTTATTTCCAACCTTTTTAGTGATTATATTACAAGATGATCAAGCCAAGGTACCCCTTGGCATTTCTGCAATCAGTAGAAGTTTTAGAACTATACAAAGTATAAATGAGCCAGTTATTGTTCTAGACTATAACTTTTCTGTTAGTTCACAACAGAAATTTGTTCCATCAGTCTACTTAATCATTAATCTAAGTGACATAAATGATACACTTTGTAGCAGCCAATTATTAATCTATATTTAGCCACAATATGAGCTAGGAACAAGCTCAATCACCTATATAAATGATCTAA